CTGTAGTCCCAGCTACTTGGGAGGCTGAGGCAAGAGACTTGCTTGAGCCCAGGAGTTGGAGGTTGCTGTGAGCTGTGATGCCATGGTACTCTATCCAGGGGGATAGCTTGAGGCTCTGTCTCAAAAAAAACCAAAAAAAACAATAACTTGTTTTATTGATTCATTTAATCAACACAACCACCCTATGAGGCAAAGACCAGACGTTCATTCATGTTAGAAGTGTTTCTGAGGCAGTGACCAGCTCAGAGTGACACCTTCATGGCCTTGGTTCCCAGACCCTTACCTGTGCAGTCCTGAGAAACATATACCACCAAGTGGGTGACCTCAGAGCAGCTCTCCACAGCTTTCCTGGGGATGAGAGGAAGGCCTGAGTTCCTGGGGGTACCCAGCAGCTCCCATGCTCCCTGCAGCAGCCCTCACCTGAGGATGTGTGCCACTACTGATGGCCCATACCAGTCACCAGCTTTCTTGCCTAAGCTCTGCCCAAGCTCCACAAGCCGGTGTAGGCTGAAGGGAGCCTGGGGGTGGTCAGCAAACCAGGATACAATCTGCCGGTGCTGGTGTTCCTGCTCCAGTTCAGGAGTGCCCTGGGCCCACCGTGGTGGCATCCAGCGGGCAGGCACACGGTATTGGCTGGGAGAGGCCAACAGCTCAGGGGGACCCAGGCCTCTGCCCTCAGCCCACGTCCAGTCTGGTAGGGATGGAGTACAAAGTCAAACAGTGCTAGTATGTGTGCAGGGCACAGTTCTCATTTATTTCTCCATTGTACACAATTCTAATGTTTTAGAACCCCAAGATTAACTACAACTTGCATGTTCCTGAAACATGTTCCTCTTATTTTATAAACTCTCACTCATCCCCCAAAATTACTCAACACACAATTCCAACATGACTTGGAATTTTGTTTGCAAAAAAAAAAATTTTTTTTTGAGACAGTCTCTCTCACTTTTTTGCCCCTGGTAGAATACCTCTTGGGCTCACTCTTGAGCTCAAGAAATCTTCTTGCCTCAGCCTCCCAAGTGGCTAAGACTACAGGTGCCTGCCACAACGCCTGGCTATTCTTAGAGATGAGGTCTCACTCTTGCTCAGGCTAGTCTTGAACTCCTAAGCTCAAGCAATCCACCTGCCTAGGTCTCCCAGAGGTGAGCCTCCACCCCTGCCTGTTTACAAACAATTCAAACTGCTGACAGCTGGTCAGCCCTGGGCTCCTAAAGCACCCCTTACTTACTCCCCAGCATCACTCACCTCTGGGCAGGAAATGCAGTAGCAGTCCCTGAGCCAGCATCATCTGACCACTGCGTAACATGCACCCCCAGCCACAGTCTGAGGTCAGGCAGCCCCCAGGGAGGGGTGGGAAGTCCCTGCGATAGGTGAACCATAGGCGAGACACAAAGTCCCGCTGGAATCGCTGGATGTCACCTACAAGAACAGCCTATCAGCCGTCATCAGGGACACTCCCCAAAAGGCCCCCCCCCACCCTGGTCCTGACCACCAGCTCACCCTCGCCCTGGAAACGGTAGCGGCGGCCACAGAGGTGAATGCTGGAGATCTTGCTAAAGCTGGTCCGGCTTTTAACTGCCCAACCTGAGGAGATGTACCCAGGGAAATGAAGCACTCGCTTGATAGCAACAGCACTTCCATGCCCCCATCTGTGAAACGGCATGATTCTGCTTCCTATCTTAAGGGTAGCCCTGGGGCATCTGTGCAATATCCCTCTAACTAGGGAGGTGGGCCCCTGGACAGATACCGAGTGTCTACTATGCATTCAACATGAATTAAGGCAGTTTTAATTATTGTATCCATTTTACAGAGAAGGTAAAAAATGGAGGTGTCTGGAAGCAAAGGATCTTGCCCAAGGTTACCCCGGGGGTGGGCGGGGCTTGAAAACACTCCCTGTTCAACCTGCCACAGGTCCACTCCGGGTCCTGCAGGGCGGAGGACCCACAGGTGACTCACAGGAAGGGAACACGGTGAAAAAATCGGCAGTTACAGGGTCTGATTCCCCTCGAACCCTTTCCTTCCCCCTGACTTCTAAGCCCCCTCCTCACCGTACTTCACATTGTTCCAGGCTGTCAGGAACTTGGCCTTGAACTTGTCCACTTCGTCCGGCTCACCGGGGGCGTCCCCAGGCGAGCCAAGAGCCGGGCCACTAGCTCCAGAGGGTCTGAGGCCGTTGGGATCTGGAACTCTGGGGCCCCGCGGCCTGCGGGCCTCGGGTCGGCGCGAGTCCTCTGGGCTCCCGCTCCCGTACTGCCCCGCGGCGGGCGACACCGAGTTCATGGGCGCGCCGGAAGGGCACAACGAAGGCCCCGGGGGCTGCGACCGCCGCACCCCAAGGCGCCCCGCGACTGGGACACGAGGGGCTCGAGGAAGGCGCTACTCAGAACCCGACTCTGGTGTCCCGCGCCCTGCGTACGCTGCAGCCGCCTCCAAAGCAGCCGTCGCCATCTTAGCTGCCCAGGCCCTAGAATGGATCAGGAGGCGTGGCCTTGAGGACACCCCGCCCATGTCCCGCCCCCAGAAGTCCCGTGCCCAGATCCGAGGACGCTGCCTGGAATCTCTACTCCCTCCGCCTCCTCACAGGTTCCCACGCCCGCCTTATCTCACCGCCAGAAGCGTTGAGAGAGCGTGCAGACCCCTATCGCAAGCGCCACAGCCAAGAAGCCACGTACCGGCTCGGCCCCGGAACCGCCCCCTCCAGAGTCCCGGGAAAGACCGCCTGTCTGACAGGTGCTCAGGTTGAATGTGTAGCTACCTGCCCACGCCTTTCCAAAAGTTGCCGACCTACAATCCGCCTTGTCTTGGGGCCTAATTGGCTGAGTGTGACCTCCCCCAGGGGCCAGATACGCCCCAGTTTTCTCATGTGTAAAACAGAGCTCCAATACACGCAACAATATAGTTGACATTTCCTATCAGTTATGCCCAGAGAAAGAATCCAAAACAAACAAAAAAACAGAAATAGGGCGGCGCCTGCGGCTCAAAGGAGTAGGGCGCTGGCTCAATATGCCCGAGGTAGTGGGTTCAAGCCCAGCCCTGGCAAAAAACTATAAAGAGGCTCGGTGCCTGTGGCTCAAG